GGAAGCAGGAGCACATAGACAGTTAATTATTTTCAGCTGGTGGCATGCTAGGCGAGGCCTACATCCAGGCTTTACACATGCATTTCATCTTGCTGATGGAGCTCTCCTGTTTATATCTGGAGCAGTCGCTAACACCAAGACAAACCACAGCCTCTACATGAAAAACTAGCATCACAGAGTTTGCTGTCTTTGGCTTTTGTTTCTCTTTTTTAGGAACTCACTTTCATCCCAAATGAGTTTGCTGAGGTTTACTTGGACTCCGGGTACAGATTTTCCTTCAATTTTAAACTTTTGTTGTGTCAATCCCAGTAAGTACTTTAGAAAGAAAATTCTACCCAAGGTTGGAGTCAGCTGTACCAAAGCTTCATTTTCTTTCTGGTTTTATTTCAACAGCAGCTTACTAAGAACAACTAGGAGAACTCTGCCTTGGGAAGAATGAAGTTGTACTACCCCTGAACTGACCTAACACCTAATCAACCTGCAGCACCTCCGGCAAAGAGACCATGCTTTGAAGCTTAAATAGGGAATTTTTGGGACGAGAAGAAATGATAAAAATTAACGTCTCATGCCAGGTTAGATTTGAGTATTTGCAGATGGATTGCAATACCTACTTGTTCAATATAAAAAAGAAAGCACTGCCTTTTGAAAAAGCTTCAAAGCAAAATTCAAAAAGTTAAACTACAAAAATTATCAAATATTGCAGTTATTAATTTTAATACAGAAGTTACTACGACTTCCCTGATCTCCTCCTTTCCCATTTGCTCCCAGAAACCCTCATACAACCAATGCTTACTGGAAGAAAAGTTCAGCAGAAGAAGCGATGTGGCTAGCCATACATGAAATGTCAGGTCTTTCATGTTGTTGAAATCTGGGTTCATTGCATTAGCTCCCACTAAATATGTCAAATCTTTGCTCTGAACTCAGACTGCTCAAGTCCCTGCACTGAACAAGTCAGTGGTCTTTGTTAGCTCATAGCACACGCTGAACCCAGAGACATCAAAATCAATCTTTATCAGCCTTTTGCAAAATTGTTATTTACTGAATTCAACCCAGTTAATACTTACCTTTATAAACAAACCAGAACCCACAGATTTAATAAGACCTTGAAATCAGCATTGGACCACTGGAAGTGCAACACAGTAACAATGATAATAAATTCCAGTATTAATTCATACATACTTTAATTGCTATTTTAATGATACAATAAATCTACTGAAGCATTTAAAGATTTTTTTTATTATGGTTTTATATATTCATATAAAACCACCAAAGCACTTTAAAGAATCATGCTTTCTGGTATAATACATAAAACTAGTTTCATACTGTGCTTCTGAGAGTCTATCGTGCTGTTTTTCAAGTTATTTTACAGATGGCACATTTAAAAAAAAAAAAAAAAGAAAAGGAAGCATGAATTTCTTGTGACTGCAATGCAACACAGCATCCAAAACAAGATTGTTTCATTACAACTAAGTTAAAGTGTGAGTGCATTATGTAATAAACAATAGCAGTTTGGTCATTTTAATCTTAATTCTGTTTACAACAAAACTAACATTTGTGCTTCATGACCTAAAATCCCATGATATAAACGTAAGTTCTGTGCTGTAAAAATCCCAACCAACTACTGTCCAAAAAGAAAAACATATCTATAACAGGAGACCAAGTTTAAATCTACTCACTTTCCTTGAGAATTGCTATATTTAAGACTAATATGACATACCAGACACAATAAGGCACAATGGGTGGTACAAACAAATGAATACAGTTGTCCATGAAACTTGTTCTCTTCCACAAATACTAAAATATGTACCGCTCAAGATAAATTTTCTCTTAAAAATGAAATACATCATCTTGTTATGAAAGTCCTATACAAAAATTTAAAATTTACACCATCTGAGCTGCCAAAAAAATAAAAAAGTGTATCAATTTTCCACAAAACTATATTTCTCACCAGCACATCCAGCCACTGGGAAAAAGATATCCCAGCACCCTGGAAAAGAAAAGCATTATTTCCCCTGTGTTTAAGACAAAAATATTGTATTCTGCATACAGTAGTGTATTATACTTAGAAAAGCCTAGCACTATTAAAATTACAATATTGATTTGGAAATTATTGGTTCACTGCCTGGATGAAATAAGGCACTTTCTTCCAGTGGGCAGCACTTTTCACATATATGGAGATGATGAATCAGGTTCTGGTTAAAAATAAAAAAGGGGCTCAGTGAGGTCCCAAAAGACGACAGGAACATTTCAACAGCAGGGGAAGACACAGGAGGTAAAACCTGGAGATGAAACTCTACACGGAAGTGGTCACTCTGTCAATGGCATTATTGACCTCGTTTTTGTTTGAATCCAGTCCTTTAGCAGCATTCATATCATTCCGTAAATTCTCCACTGTCTTTTTCATGTTCTTTAATTCTCCAGGGTGTGGAGTGGCTCGCCTTAGAAGTGTTCTCTAAAAATAAACAGTGCAATAAGTGGTTTTGCCTTCATCTCTTTGAAAAACAACATACACTTTCAAGGCTTTAGCATTCACGTACCACATATTAGGTATTGATTTTTTTCCTTTTTTTTTTCCCCCCCCTTTTCAAACTATGATGCTCTATGTTGAACGTTATTTTCATAGCTGCTTGTTTATGAAGACAGTGAAAGAGGTTTTAAGAACCGTCTAGGAGCAAATTTTTTCCTCTCTTGACCTACTGAAAGAATCCCACAAGATCTTTTTACAGTGTCAAACACAGGCTTGTGTGGAGCTCTGTACACCTTCCTGCCCTGCCACACAGTTTGGTTCTCTTGTCAACTGAAAACAAATTATCTTGAAAGGAAGAAGAGGGAGCATTTCTCTCCCATCTTAGACACAAGGACATCTAACATCATTGCACTGAAACCTTTACGAGGAAAACAAAATTTACAAAACCCTCAGTTAGCATCCAGATTAGAGACCAACAGAACACCAAGAATAATTGCACAAGTATGTATCAGTATAATACATACATATATGCAATTACTTTTCAGTGGTATACATGTAAACCGTGCAGACTACAGCAGAACGGATGACCCATAAATGGGTGCATTGGTCAAGACTGCTTTGGAAATCCGCCCTTCCCCCTCCCCAATAGAATCATAAACTTCTTTTTCCCTAAAAAGGTTCTTGCCTCAAGTCAGGCTGTAATACCATGACTGAAAGCAGTTACCATTAACATCTAAGCCCTTGTCCTATGGATGTTCTCAGGCTGTTAAGAAGCATTATTCTGAACTCCCTTACCGGTCAGTCTACGAACAACATTTGTCAGAGACATTTAGTATCTGCTACTTTGGATTAAGCAACCACCTTACTTGAAAACTTTAATGTTCATTTCCCTACTAACTAAGAATTTTTATAGTAAGACCGTGTTTCTAGCGTGCTACAATCCGGACAGTGCCCTGAAGTATCTCAAGCTGAGCTCATTAGGACCACCAGCAAGTTTTTAGAGCATCAGAGAAGCATGCTGAAAATCTGATTGAAGCAGTCTTAACCTCTACAGAGAGTTTTAATTGTTAATGAAAGTTAGTGAAGCTAAAGATCATGTTGCATTTTGATCTTCAGGACATGCAGAGCCCAACTTAATGGAGAGGTCTCATAAGCACAGTGACAGATGTTCCCACATCCTTTGTTTAAGTGGGAAACTAATGAGCAACGTTCTTGCTGTTTATGGACACTATAGTTGTTTCAATGCACATGGTAGAGGAAAAAAAAAGAAGAAGAAAGGAGAGAGAGAAAGAAAGAGATTTGCAATAGAAATTAGAGAGACAAACAATGGCAAACTTAATGGAGACACATGCCAGAGTGCTGGAATCCTAAATTAGACCCTATATACTTTCAGGCAGTAAAGTTGCACAGATGCAGAGAAAGATCCTGTCTTGTTTCTGGGAAGAAAACATCCTGAGCAGACACAGGGGAACAAAGCAAAACAAAGACTGTCCTGCATCACAACATAAAAAGTTATAGACTAAGCAGAAAAAAAAAAAAGCAGGCATTTTAAGTCAATATGAAAAGTTTCGGCAGTCAACATGAACAGTTTCTGCTACAAATGTACACAAAAAGCATGCAGTCACAGCTGAAATATTTACAGCAAGAGAGCTCTGACACTTTTTACATTTTGGCATTAAAATCACAGTGTCTGCAGGCATCCAAAGGCTTGGAAAACATACCATTTCATTATCCTCTTCATCTTTTTCATCTTCTAAGAAGCGAATTGCACTCACTCTATTCACTGCCCGCTCATTCCATGTTTCATCCGACATTTCATTTACCAAACTCTCCAGTGCACCACATCGTGGTAGGTTATCTGTTAGAACAGCAAAACATAACTAAAGATTCACAGCAAGTCTAAAACATCAAAATACTATATTGTTAATAACTGCGATATCCAACCACACACTCATCCGAGATTTATAATTGGCTGTTTCTGTTTTTTTGATAGAAAACAGAACTTGCATTGATTTTCTGTTATCAAGCACACAAAATAAATAGTTTCTGTATCAATGAGAAATTTCTGTACTTGGTCTGTTTCAAGTTTGTGGCAGTTTTAGAGTATTGATTATATAATTTAATATACTTGCCACTATAAGTGCTTTTCTTCTGGATCATGGCTGCCATCCGACATTAGCCAGTTCCCTAAATGGCATTCTATAACACAGGATCATCGCTTTTACTGACCTCGCCCTTTTAGTATTGCCAGGCATATATGTCCAACAATCTTAATTCCAAGCCTTCTACCCTTGAAGCCATGAGATTCATCTCAAGAGGAGGAAATCTAATTTCTAGTAGTGAGGCCTTTAGAGAAAGTCAGTCTACCTCAGTTACTCTTCTTGAAGAAGCTTAATCCTCTCTAAATCTAAAGAGGTTAATTCGTTTATTTATTTTAACTCTTAATGCAATTTGTATTCTTAAAATCCAGAAGCTGATACAAAACAGAGCCATTTCTAGACTTCTATTGCTTTAATGGTTCCTATTTGCTCCAGCTGCTTAGCGCTGAAAGGACAGAATTAATCTAGGTAAGTTTGGCTATCTGCAATACAGGTATCTACAGCCGAGCTTTTCTCCTCAGGCCCCCTTTGAACAGTGGTGAAGAATCCACATGATTTCTTTTAAAAGTCTGTTCTTGGATGGGATAAATTACTCTCCAGTGACTACAGCAGAAGTTTAAATATTAGCTCAGATGAATCCCCTTTAATGTTCACATATAGCTATAAAAGCTTGAGGACAAAAAACATCCAGAAGTTACTGGAGCAGCAACCCAGCCAACAGTGAAAGAGTTTATGGTTCCACCCGACCCAGAGGCAAGTTTCAGCACAAAAGGTAAAAGCAACTTATAGTGCAATTCTACACTTGTTGAAGAATATAATAAAGTTACTGTACAGCACCTTTGCTTGAAAGAAAATTACCTTGGTAAAAAGTAAAAATGTCTACTGCTTATTACTAGCAATTATTTTTCTGGTAAAGAGACTGTAGTTGGAAAGCCATCAATTTTCACTATATATATATATATGTATTTAAGATGTATAATCACTGTACATAAATATGGACACCACTATTTGGCCCACTGGTAAGCCTCAGAATAATGATATGATTAAGTCGTCTTCTTGCAGGTCTGTATTTTATTTATTATAGCTGGTGTCATTGTATTTTCAGTAACACTCACATCCATGTTTTTCAAGTCTTCTGAAAGCTAATATGATTACAAAAAAAAAAAAAGTAGCTTAAAAGTGAAAATTCAATGAGCTACTTTGCTCATTAGAGCTTATGCATGTTTTACAAACCTTTATGGAACAGACAACGCAGTAAACAAAGAAGTAGTACTTCTATACCTAAAGAAAAACTGACTCTAGGCACTTACCTTGGCAACCAGGCTCAGAAGGCATTTGAGGAAGTAATACGCATGTTAAAATCTTTTCTCCTGTTTCAGGGTCTGTGTCTGTCTGAAACGTCAGCAAAGGTTGGGACTGGTTATCAGACAACCACAAAGCCTTCAGCTTTAAGGTAGTCAGTGAGAGGGGAAGATACGTCAGCCTAGATCAAAAAAGAAAAGTCAAAAAGTCAGGGGAATCTCTAGGAGATTAATAGATGGTCATGAAGTATATAACCCTGAGTTGGAATAAATAGGATTGAGATTAATGCCTCTAATAGAAGGCCTTGCATTAGTCATCAATTCCAACCACTCCATTCTTTTAAAAAGAATCTGCAGCTTAACTTTATATCATAATTCTCTATAGCTGCGACTAACAGATAAAACAACCCTGAGCTTTTTCTACTGCAGGAAAATGCCCTGGAAGGCAGACAGCTGCTTCTGCTCTGGAGCCTTATATATAAACCATTGCCAGAACACAAATATGTAAATGCCTATGAGACAATTATATTGCATCGATGACAAGCCGTTTGCTTTTCCTCTCCCCACCCGCCCCCCATTTAACTTTGTACTAAGCAACTGAACTAATGTGCTGGTTTATGCTTCAATCCACTTCCTTTTGCAATCCACTCCCTTTTGCATTTTGACGTCTGAAGCATATCAACTAAGGTCCATGAGAAGCCACCATGTCAAAGTGGCATTATTTGTTACTTGCACTGTAGATCTTTAAGGTAAGACACTCAATATTAGTGTTACTTGATATTAAGGCTGGTAGTTTCAGCTGAAGCTCTACCAAATTGCCTAGATTCTCAGTTTTAATTCAGAAATACACAAATCCAGAGGTTTTTTAAAATCCTATCTTTTCCTCAGGGTCAAAACAATCCAGAAAATGTACTCATGACAACACACAATTTATGGTATTTCGGGCCAAGGGAGAAGACTACTTTGACAATTTTAACAGTAATGCTAACACAAAAGCCATAACTGCTTTTTTGTTACTTCATTCTTAGACCTAATATCATGTGTTGTTAGAAAGAATTAAGTAAATCCAGCAAAAAAAGTGACAATACAAAAATCTCTCACCTGTTTCCAGCAACATCGAGGACGTGAAGTTCAGTGGCTTGTGAAATTTCAGAGGGAATTCGAGATAATCTGTTGTCACGTACAGAAAAGACGTTAAGACTGCAGCACCCTCCAATCTATATTAGAGGGAAGGAAAAAAAAAAAAAGAAAAAAAACTGGTTTTGTTGCAGTATGGCAGTTATAAACAAAGGCATGCAGTACGGGTCGCATAATACATCATAGCGCATTCAAGTTACGATGTCTGCCAGACACTTCACCCAGAGGTACAGACCGCAAACAAGTCTTAGTTTAAAAGAAGTCTGACCTGAAGCGAGTCTGTTGGAGCAGTTTCTTGAACATCTGTATCTGCGAATAATTTACACCTTTACAAATAGGTCAGGTTCTACCTACCTTTTAGAGCCTTCCATGCCAGGAAGAGATCAGTAACCACACAGATGCTACTTTGTAGACAACCCTCGCAAAAAAACACTAGCTTTAACTTTCAACTTTTTCTAGCTCTGTGTTTTACATATTAATTCTTTCTTTCCTCACGGTAACTTTAGATACAAGCAAGTGCAATACGGCTTTAGGCAAGACAAAATGCTAAATACATCAATCAACTCTCAATGTTTATTGAGTCCGCAAAGAGTAATGAAGAGTTCACAAAAAGTAGACGACTTTATGAGTAACATCTCTGATGCTCTGTCTTGAAATTAGATGCCTCTAATAAAACGATTCCCATATGAACTGGCCAATTTAATCTAATATCCTCTGTCTCTACCAATTTATCCAAACATAAGCATCTGCATTCCCAAGCTAATTTTTGGGTGCAAAAGATGGGATTTTTCAGTTTTGCCCTTAAAATATCTGTATTTTGCATCAAAGGTTCACGTTTTCAGAAAAATAAACTCTCTACATTTGATTTTAAAAAAACCCACATTCCACCTTTTTGTTCCAGATGGCAATTACTACTCCTATAAACACCAACACTATTAGTTTTAGCAACTTGAAAGCTGCTTCAAGTAACTCTCTGTTCCTATTCACAAAGAAAACTTACCTTTGTTTGCTTATCATATAGAGCTTCAAAAAGCACTGCTGTTTGTTTGCCAGTTCCAAAACTCACCATGAGAAGAGGAAAAAAAAAAAAAAATATTTTTCTCACTCTAAGTATTAAGAGGCAAAATACCCCCATGCCTTTTGAAGCTTTCAAGTTAAGCAGACTCAGAACCTTACTACAGACAGCAAATCTACTGAAAGATCTCAGTTCAAAAATCAGAGGACTTCTATAGTCACCCACGTGTAAGAAGGTTCTTCTGTCACAATATAGCCAACTTGTCACTACAACTTGGTCAGGAGTCCCCAAATCTGAGCTGAAATTACTTAAGTGCTCTAGTTAACTGTCAGTTCTGTCTTTGCAAAATCTACCATTCAGTCCAAACCCAAGTGTGAGATTACAGACAAATACCACAAAAGCTTTTCCACTAGTGAAAGTAAAAATCATGTCGATTTAACCTACACGATTTACTAAGGAAAAAGCCATTTTTAACAGGATGCAACTGTAAGTTGGAAAATAAAACAAACAAATGAAGCATTTATACCCCACTCACCTTCCTTTATATTATAAACACATTTTAATGGAAGAAAGCAGAGATCAGCTGCTCCAGGCTTCTGATTCACAAGCTATTTACAGCCCAAAGTTACAGCACAACATTCTCTTGACAAAACAAAAATCTGGGATGGTTCCCCTTAAATCACTGCACCCTAAGATGCAGCTATTTCACAAAAGTATCAGCTTTCTCAGCCCTGCGTGTACAGTAGGAGCAGCAACCCTGTTAGCCATTCTAGCTCGTGAATCAAAGCCTTTCGAAACTAGCACTCAAATCGTGAGCAAACATTTCTTAGTTCTGATATTCACTTTAAAGCATGTATAGATTCTTAAATAATGTGCCTTGACACATTCACAGAATACAGTGCCATATAGAAAAAAAAAAGAAATTATAGATATATGCACACACTAAGTGTCTAATTGGTGTATCTAACATGAGGAGCTGTGAAAAGCAAGAGATACAATTAGTGAATGTTGATGAGCTGGCAAGTGATGCCCTAACTGTACACAAAGTGTTCGCTTTTCCACGAATGAAGTTTGCGTTATTCAGTCTTGGAGCACGGAGATCCAAACAGTTTAGCCAAACAAACAAAGTAAAGCCATGCAGCCCTGATGAGACCAAAACTTCTGTACTTTTGACAATGGAAAAATGCAGCGGTGGAACCAGCCGGCCTGAGTCATCATGCATTTAAAGCAGTTTAATGAAAGGTAACAGTAGAACCGTGGACTGAATAATACTTACAGGGTTATCAATTTACCTGACCCATAATTTTCCAAGCGGCTAACAATTAAGAAAATACAAGAGATGTTCAATTTATTTTTCTTTATCCATACTGGACAAGAGCATGCCAACAAATGGAGACAGAACATACATTCTTCTACTGCCAAAGAGGGTTAGAACTCCTAAGTTATTTTAACTTCAGTTATCTTATCTTTGCTCTATCAGTCAATAGGCAATTGTTCCAAGGTGGTGTTTCATTCAGAGGTAGTGAAGACCTTTTTCTTCTTTTTTAAGAGAGTAGCGGAGGGGGGAGCTAACAGACAGATATTGAATTTATTTTTTTTTATGAAACTGTTTTTAGAAAATGCAGGCAGCATCTAACAAGCAGCATTGGGTGAGATATCACAGAGAAAAAAGACAAGCTGACAGTTTAAAAAAAAAAAACAAACTCCAATTTTTGTCATTTAAAAAAAGGTAACACCTATCCAGCACTACAGAAAGACATCAAGTCCAACATTTGAAAACCTAAACACAAAGCAGTACCACTGAGGCAAAGTGCACACACTAAATGGCATGCTAAAAGGCAAACATCTTTGTCACCACCATGAAGTAATACAGTACGGTATCGGAACATCGCCAGTTTGGCTGAGAGTCATTAACTGACAAAGAGCCATGCTTTCCAAGGGTTTGGTCACATGCTTACACCAGACTTTGCCAAACCACCGCGTAGGCACCAAGTCCACAGTTGAGACCACAAGCCCATTTAACAGTTAAGCACACAGTTCATTTCCAGCACAGACTTCAAATCAATGGGGACAAGCATGTGCTTCATTCTAGGCACATGAGTAACTGTTTGAAAGACTGGAGGCTTAAAGAAGTCCTCATGTTCTTCTGTAGCGGGTTAGACATCATGAAAAGGTCTCAAATGAGTTGTGCACGTCTAAGTCATATTCCTGAGATTTATTTCATTCTAGCAATCGTAATTTAAGGGTAAGTCACTTGTTTCATCACATCATCTCCAAAGAACAGTCAGCCTAGATAAAAAACAAAAACAAAACCACAAACCCCAAACCCACACATAGTCAGGCAGAAAATGATCATTACGATAATGTGCTAATTTTGAGATCACTGATCTTACAGTTTGAAGAAAACTGCTTATTTGCATTCAGGTGAACTTGCTTCAGAGCATCACTAGGACCCCTCTGGGTTTCACATAAAACTCTACCCCTATGGAAGATTTTTTGCTCTTTTCTTCTCTCTCAGTCTGAGGCTCATCTTTCTAACAGCTTCCTTGTTCCAGAGAAGCAGTAAGGCTTGGGCATAAACAGAGAGGATGTCAGCATGCCTGCTAAAACTCCCCTCTACATTCTGATCATGACCACCGTTCAACATTTCAGCCTCCTGCGTTTTTGACATCTACATACCCACTGCTAGTCCTCCAGAACCGCAAGTCTTATCACATCACTTCTCTGCTGATGTTTCTGACAATTCTTCTTCTCTACAGCAGACAGACTGCTGTTTTGACACCTGCATCAGTCGTGTATTTTTGATGCCCCGACTTTTACTGCGCTTATCTGTACAATAACCTGATGGTTGCCACTTGATTTTTCTTGCTGATGACACCTTTGCAGCTTTCTGGAGGTAAAACCAAGACAAGTGTGCAGATTCATCCCTCTCTTCCCATTTAGATCCCTCCCCAAAACTCTCATTTGCTCCCTCTCTTGAGGCCAGTCGTCAGTTATATTCATCACCACAGACCAAATTTCACTGATTACAATGGCACATCCTCACACTGTTGGTCCTCTAAAGCCAAAACAAATTAAAGGTGGGAAACTTAGAAGACCTTCAAGTTACTTCAGTTGAATAACATCCTTTGATCTCAGCATCTGTTAACTGATCCAAAGCTATGAATCAATCCTGCTGTCCTTTACCAGTTAGCATCTTTCACACAGGTATAAGCAATGCAAAAAAAACCCCAACAACATTATGACAAATACTACCATGACTATTCATTAGCATGTGACTAGTTAAAGTCCAGTGACACATCTCTTTTATTCAACTCTCAATATAGCTGTCAGCATCAAGAACTCTCCCTAGGTTTATCCAACTCCGATAAATACATTGGGAATTTAAATGCAGCTCCTATTGCGCTGTAAAATCTTTTCCAGGGTGTCACAACCAAAATTTTGTTTGGATTCAAAGTGATTAAAGTCAGAGTTTTCCTTGGACCCACATAAAATAGTGGGTCCAATTCTTTAATTGCAAGCATAGAATACATTTAGAGGTGTAAAAGACTGCCCAATTCACTATTATTAACTACTATTCAGTTATTATTAACTTTAAATTGGCTAGGAAAATCTTTGGCAAACTCACTTTGACATCCCCTGCACCACCGGTGAATAGTATGGGAGGAGCGCAGCAAGAGAGCTTCTCTGCCCTCTGACTCAAGCCAAGTTTTCCTGCATTTTTCCTTAGTGCCTTTTCTCCCCTTTGAGATGCACAAATACCTATTTTTACACAAATGACGGGAAGGGATGGGACATCGGAAGTTAAAACCTGAAACAACAAAGCAGCCCCAACTTGTTTTTTAAAAAAGAAAAAAAAAAGGAAAAAGAAAAATGTAAGCAGTACAGTAATTGCCAAAAAAAAAACCCTGCAGTTTTACCTAATGTAGTAATAATTCTCAGAATATACCTCAGAGCCAGGAAGGACACATTACCAGATCTCTGCAGGTTGTAGAGACTCATTAACAAAAGCACATGAACTGGAAAACATTCCAAGGAGGTTATTTATGCAAGTGCCAAAATCAA